ACAACTAGGCGAATACACACACACACACACACACACACACACACACACACACACACACACACACACACACACACACACACACACGCACACACGCACTTGATACAACGACACGTAAGGGGATACCTGGTCTTGATGGAACGACACGCGAGGGGATACACCTCGTCGACCTGTTCAAGAGACCAGACATCCACCTGCCCAAGAGACCTCACATCCACCTGCCCAAGAGACCTCACATCCACCTGCCCAAGAGACCAGACATCCACTTGCCCAAGAGACCTCACATCCACCTGCCTATGAGACCTGCCATGAAGGCTGCGTCGAATGTGAAACAAGACGCCATCGTGGTAGGGGACTGACAGGGTGCACGGAGGTGCGACTCGCTTCCTTTGTTGGAAATCTCATCCCTTCTTCCCTCTTGTGGGAGACAGCCCGGAGGGAGACAGGGCATCTTCTCAAAACCACACACAGTGACGAGTGGTTGCGACAGGTCGATACCACATGAATGGCAATACTTGGCTACTATTACCCACCCAAAATAAGGTTTATAATGGGGAAGAGGGGGTAAGAGGGGCTGACTTGACGTCACGGTATATGGGGCGAAGTAGATTGTAAAGTATCATATATAATGCATATTTTTCTCTCTCACGTATTCCCAGGATGCAGTCCGTAGCAGCTGCCTAGCTCCCAGGTACCTATTTAGTGCTAGGTAGCATTGGCATCAGGGTGAAACAAACTGCCCATTTGTCTCTGCCATCGCCGGTGATCGAACCCCGGTCCCCCAGGATTACGAGTCCTGAGTACTGTCCACTCAGCCACCAGGCGCCCGTGTGTGTGTTATGATGTTATCACTTGTATACTTGTCCCTTGAGGGTGGTAATGAAAGCTGCACCAGTCGTTCACTGAGCACATCTCTGACAGTCATGACTGAAGAGCAGTGTATGACAGCACTCGAACAAATCCACAAAGGCCGTGACGAGGATTCGAACCTGCGTCCGGGAGCACTCATTCCTCAGAAATTTCTAGATGACCCATACTGTCACAGTTTGAGTGCTTACCTAACTGTCTGTACGGGACGAGAAATCTAGCTCTAGGGCCCCGCCTCATAGCTAGTGTACCTGGTTCATTTATTCTTCAAGACTCTTCAGCTAAGTCACACACTTGATACCTGGTTGATGGGGTTCTGGGAGATCTTCTACTCCCCAAGCCCGGCCCGAGGCCAGACTTGACTTGCGAGAGTCTGGTCCACCAGGCTGTTGCTTGGAGCGGCCCGCAGGCCCACATACCCACCACAGCCCGATTGGTCCGGCACGCTTTTTAGAAAACAGTCTAGATTTCTCTTGAAGATGTCCACGGTTGTTCCGGCAATATTTCTTATAGTCGCTGGGAGGACGTTGAACAACCGCGGACCTCTGATGTTCATACAGTGCTCCTGCAGCTGTGAAGGGTGGCAGCTTCCACCACCTCTGGTTCACCTCTGGTTCAAGATCATTACACTTTACAACTCTCCGCCCACTTTATTTCCAAATGTATCTTGTACGTTGTGATCATAGTCTCTTCGTGTATTTTTTAAATAATTGAGCTATGTTAGCTCAAATTCTCGTGCCTAAAATAATATTTTGAGGGCTCTAGCCCGATTTTCTAAGCTAACCAGATTTTATAGAAGAAGAAACTAGGATGGCAAACAATTATTTATAAAACAAAATAAAAGACTTAAATATATATTTAACTGCGTTCCACAATTACGCTGTAATTACTGATATATTTACGCTTCCGATCACACAATTTACATTCTCAAATATGACCAGGTAAAAAAAAATAGCCATTAATTATAATTTGATAATAAATTTCACTGACTTTTATCATGCATGACCTTCAGTGTCTACCCCCCCCCCCCCCGTGACCCTGAATGTCTCCCGTGACCCTGAATGTCTCCCCGTGACCCTGAATGTCTCCCCATGACCCTGAATGTCTCCCCATCACCCTGAATGTCTCCCATGACCCTGAATGTCTCCCGTGACCCTGAATGTCTCCCATCACCCTGAATGTCTCCCATCACCCTGAATGTCCCCTCATCACCCTGAATGTCTCCCATGACCCTGAATGTCCCCCATCACCCTGAGTGGCCGTCCCGTCCATACGAGTGACCTTCTAACACTGTCCCACAACTCCCGGTGGACACACCGTCCGCTCAACCCAGCAACCAAGACCTGAAGAAAACTACAACTTGGGACTAGCCCTCCAAGTGTATACTCGCCGCTCATCCTCTTGGTTTACCCAGTTTACCAGTCTCCGACTCTCCCAAGCCTCTCTGCCTCTCCTTTGTGGCGGAAAGATCCGTTTTGGAGCTTAAACGCCCTTGGTGCTTCAAAGGCTAAAGTGGAAGCGGCGTGGAGGGCTTGGGTGCTCACAATCAGGTTGACTGGCAGGCTGCCTACCATCCTGCCTACCATCCTGGCAGGCTGTTTACCATCCTGGCAGGCTACCTACCATCCTACCAGCAAAAAGATATTGGAGTAAAAATTTAAGGAATGAAATTATCAGGGGAAAGTGACAAGCCATTACGACTATCTAACACTGGGAAGAGGACAGGATAAGGATTTGGGATGGGACGGTGGGAAGGAATGGTGCCCAACCACTTGTGGACGGTCTGGGATTATCGATCTCAGATGGCATTAGACTGTCAAGAGGACTGTCTCGTACTGGGTACACCCGTTGGCTATCTTGAGGTTATCCTGAGATGATTTCGGGGCTTTTTAGTGTCCCCGCGACCAGGCCTCCACCCCCAGGAAGCAGCCCGTGACAGCTGACTAACACTTAGGTACCTATTTTACTGCTAGTTAACAGGAGCATAGGGTGAAAAAACTCTGCCCATTGTTTCTCGCCGGCGCCCGGGATCGAACCCGGGACCACAGGATCACAAGTCCAGCGTGCTGTCCGCTCGGCCGACCGGCTTCCTTGGCCGTGAAGAAAATGAATAATAATTTCTTTACAAGAAAGTACAATGGGTTTGTGAGATTGCATAATATTGGTATTTTTACAGTCTTGCAAAGACTCTCTTTCTATAGATAGTTCCAATTCTATATATAGTTTTAAATGTAAATATGATAAAAGCAAGTGACAAAGAGTGTCACAGCAGTGAACTAAAGATGGTGGAAAGGCGGGGCTCAAGAGCTGATGCTCGACCCTGGAAGCACATCTAGGTGAGAACAGGAGGGTGAGGGTAGAGGTAGTTCCACCCTTTCACTCTCCCACTTTCCTTTCCCTCTCTCAACTCCCATCAACTCCCTCTCCCAAGCCCCATTCCTTACTGTCACCCTCATGCTCTCTACCCTGCCCACCCCACCCCCCTACCCTGCCCACCACCTCCCCAACCCCAACATCATTGCCCTCCAGGTTCAGAAGGCACCGTCAGTCGGCTAATGTTTTTTTTTTTGGGGGGGGGGTGGAATGAAGAGTATGTAGGGTAAAGTTTAGAAAAGGTTAATACAGTGAGGGTTATGAAAGCCGGCGGGCTGTCCGCCTTGCTGACACCATGTGTGGGTGTTGGCAGCTAGTTTAAGCCAAGCTTAAGCTTGCTCTCATCTTGTCAGGGAGCTGTGAGTGAGTGAGTGAGTGAGTGAGTGAGTGAGTGAGTGAGTGAGTGAGTGAGTGAGTGAGTGAGTGAGTGAGTGAGTGAGCGTGTGTGTGTGTGTGTGTAATTACCTAAGTGTAGTTACAGGATGAGAGCTACGCTCGTGGTGTCCCGTCTTCCCAGCACTCTTTGTCAGTGAGTGAGTGAGTGAGCGTGTGTGTGTGTGTGTGTGTGTGTGTGTGTGTGTGTGTGTGTGTGTGTGTGTGTGTGTGTGTGTGTGTGTGTGTGTGTGTGTGTGTGTGTGTGAGAGGTTCTTCACATGTGTTTCACCATATATGGACGTCTATAGATGAATACTGTGTAACATTTATATATACCCTCCGATGCTTCCAAACATTGTTATGTTGTTCTCTTTAAGGTTCTTTATTTTATTATTATTTTTTTATACACACTTTTTTCCAATTATTGGAGGTAGGGGAGGGATTCCTGACCATTATTTTATCTGGTAATTATGTACTGTGAGGCTGGGTTTTCATCTAGTAAATCGAGGGTTATAACTCAGGAACCAGACCGTGTACGGACCCCTGACGGGGCGAGGAGGGGGGGGAGGGAAATGGGACAGGAGGGTGTGACAGTCACGTCTCTGATCTTGGCCAAGGAGGCAGGTGGCCACCTTCCCTGCACCACTTGGTCCGAACACCGCTTGGTCCGAACACCGCTTGATCCGAACACCGGTTGGTCCGGACACCGGTTGGTCCGAACACCGCTTGATCCGAACACCGCTTAATCCGAACACCGGTTGGTCCGGACACCGGTTGGTCCAACACCGCTTGATCCGAACACCGCTTGGTCCGAACACCGCTTGGTCCGAACACCGCCCACCTTCCCCAGCACCAGCAGCTGTCTGGGAGTACACTTCACTGCCCCCTGGTGGCGGCACCGTGGCGGGGTGCTGGGGGAGGGGTGATGGAGGAGGCCTCATCAGAGGTACTGGAGGGCAGCTGGGGGTTATAATAGTACTGCCAGGCTGGGCTTGGGTGGCAGGATGTGGCAGCTGGTGGAAGGATGTGTGGCAGGTGGTGGAGGATGGGTAGGATACGGACCCAATATCCCGGGAAAGGAGACTGTGTACCACTTAAAGCTGAATTGAGACATTTGTAGGTGACAGCTGGCAGTCCCGTGGTCTGGGGGGGGGGGGGGGGGGGGGGAGCGGGAGTAATGAGCCCTCACCACTCCTCCAGCCATCCATCCACACCTATACACACATCCACCTCATCCACCCTGGCTTAGTAGCCAGGGGTGGATGAGATGTCCAGCTACGGACTGGCTGAGTAGCGCTCTCTATTACCCACATGAATTTAGGTTCGAATTATTAATTGACGTGATCCATATTATTACAAAGCCACGTTAGAAATGGGGGGGGGGGAGTATGGAGACGCAAGCCATCATCACCACGACCTACCCCTCACGCCCCCTTCAACCCACGCCCTCTTCAACCCACGCCCCCTTCAACCCACGCCCCCTTCAACCCACGCCCCCTTCAACCCACACCCCCTTCAACCCACACCCCCTTCAACCCACGCCCCCTTCAACCCACGCCCCCTTCAACCCACGCCCCCTTCAACCCACGCCCCCTTCAACCCACGCCCCCTTCAACCCACGCCCCCTTCAACCCACGCCCCCTTCAACCCACGCCCCCTTCAACCCACGCCCCCTTCAACCCACGCCCCCTTCAACCCACGCCCCCTTCAACCCACACCCCCTTCAACCCACGCCCCCTTCAACCCACACCCCCTTCAACCCACACCCCCTTCAACCCACGCCCCCTCCACCTCTCCACTACCACCTTGGATAAAAACCTTATCTCCCACGACGACCCAGCTTGAGGCAGGAGCCACCTTACAGGTCATATACCACCATGCTGGCCTACCTCTCTGGGGGTTAATGCTTAACTTGCAGCATAAGCTGGCTTGATCAGGCACCTGAACTACCGGGCGTAGTTTCCGGGGATCAATAGGCCCCGCGGCCCGGTCTCCAACCCTAGGCCTCCCTGTTCGTCGTCTGGTCAACCAGGCTGTTGGCCGTCTCTCCTACTATGGACTGCATCTTGGTTTTGTTCATTTGGATTATAATCCACACCTGGTTCAGTGCGGGAAACGGCCCACGTATAATGAACACCCACGTATAATGAATACCCCACGTATAATGAACACCCACGTATAATGAATACCCACGTATAATGAATACCCACGTATAATGAATACCCACGTATAATGAATGAACACCCACGTATAATGAACACCCACGTATAATGAATACCCACGTATAATGAATACCCACGTATAATGAACACCCACGTATAATGAACACCCACGTATAATGAACACCCACGTATAATGAACACCCACGTATAATGAACACCCCCACGTGCGATGAATACCACATGAATAAGAACACAACTTTTCCCCACATTAAACTCTTAAATCAAAACAACTCAAAATAATATCCTTCACTGGAAAAAAAGCCATGAACAAGCCGATAAAAAATTAATAACAGCGAGACGACCTTCGGCGCAGCAACAATTCCCAGGATTTGGCGGATTTGAAAACAAAAAAGCACAGAAATTCCCAGCGTTTAATCGCTGGGTTTGTGCTGGGAATTTACAAGTGGGCCGCGAATAATGAAATGTTCAGACGGACCTGAACTGTCTCGCTGCTGCTGCTGCTGCTGCTGCTGCTGCTCCTGCTGCTGCTGCTGTTGCTGCTCCTGCTGCTGCTGCTGCTCCTGCTGCTGCTGCTGCTGCTGCTGCTGCTCCTGCTGCTGCTGCTCCTGCTGCTGCTGCTGCTCCTGCTGCTGCTGCTGCTGCTGCTGCTCCTGCTGCTGCTGCTGCTGCTGCTGCTGCTCCTGCTGCTGCTGCTGCTGCTCCTGCTGCTGCTGCTGCTCCTGCTGCTGCTGCTGCTCCTGCTGCTGCTGCTGCTGCTCCTGCTGCTGCTGCTGCTGCTCCTGCTGCTGCTATCTTTGTTCAGATCGTGCAGGAGACCTTTGGTTCCACCTGAGCCGCTCTCACCCTCTGCTCCACCAGCGGTACAATACGCGTCAATACGGTACAAGACTGTACAATACGCTGGAACACGGTACAAGACGCTGGAACACGGTACAAGACGCTGGAACACGGCACAAGACGCTGCAACACGGTACAAGACGCTGCAACACGGTACAAGACGCTGCAACACGGTACAAGACGCTGCAACACGGTACAAGACGCTGCAACACGGTACAAGACGTTGCAACACGGTACAAGACGTTGCAACACGGTACAAGACGCTGCAACACGGTACAAGACGCTGCAACACGGTACAAGACGCTGCAACACGGTACAAGACGCTGCAACACGGTACAAGACGTTGCAACACGGTACAAGACGTTGCAACACGGTACAAGACGCTGCAACACGGTACAAGACGCTGCAACACGGTACAAGACGTTGCAACACGGTACAAGACGTTGCAACACGGTACAAGACGCTGCAACACGGTACAAGACGTTGCAACACGGTACAAGACGCTGCAACACGGTACAAGACGCTGCAACACGGTACAAGACGTTGCAACACGGTACAAGACGTTGCAACACGGTACAAGACGTTGCAACACGGTACAAGACGTTGCAACACGGTACAAGACGTTGCAACACGGTACAAGACGCTGGAACACGGTACAAGACGCTGCAACACGGTACAAGACGCTGCAACACGGTACAAGACGTTGCAACACGGTACAAGACGTTGCAACACGGTACAAGACGTTGCAACACGGTACAAGACGCTGGAACACGGTACAAGACGCTGCAACACGGTACAAGACGCTGCAACACGGTACAAGACGCTGCAACACGGTACAAGACGTTGCAACACGGTACAAGACGTTGCAACACGGTACAAGACGTTGCAACACGGTACAAGACGTTGCAACACGGTACAAGACGCTGGAACACGGTACAATGGTAAATTACAGAACAGGCCAATTAGGTTACATGAAATCTGAGACAATGAGCAATCATAGCAAGGAACCCAGCGCCCAGCTAAGTCCCAGGAAGGAACCCAGCGCCCAGCTAAGTCCCAGAAAGGAACCCAGCGCCTAGCTAAGTCCCAGGAAGGAACCCAGCGCCCAGCTAAGTCCCAGAAAGGAACCCAGCGCCCAGCTAAGTCCCAGGAAGGAACCCAGCGCCTAGCTAAGTCCCAGGAAGGAACCCAGCGCCTAGCTAAGGCCCAGGAACCCAGCGCCCAGCTAAGTCCCAGGAAGGAACCCAGCGCCTACCTAAGGCCCAGGAAGGAACCCAGCGCCCAGCTAAGTCCAAGCAAGGAACCCAGCTAAGTGAGAGTACAAGATGCAGCACGTATCGGCTGCATCGGACACAGTTCAGCAGAAGCCTACACTCAAATGCTGAAACTACTGAAACTGTCGATATAATAACAATACAAAACAATGCAATATTGCCGTATAATTCTGCATTCCCCCCTCCCCTCCCCTCCTTGCTGGAGTCCGGCTATTGACTCTGTGGCCTTCAGGCTCGGTGATAGTCCTCTGTAAAAGCAGCAGCAGTAGGAGCAGTAGCACAAGCAGCAGCAGCAGCACAAGCAGCAGCAGTAGCACAAGCAGCAGCAGCAGCAGCAGCAGCAGCAGCACAAGCAGCAGCAGTAGCACAAGCAGCAGCAGCAGCAGCACAAGCAGCAGCAGTAGCACAAGCAGCAGCAGCAGCAGCACAAGCAGCAGCAGTAGCACAAGCAGCAGCAGCAGCAGCACAAGCAGCAGCAGTAGGAACAGCAGCAGCACAAGCAGCAGCAGCAGCAGCACAAGCAGCAGCAGCAGCACAAGCAGCAGCACAAGCAGCAGCAGCAGCAGCACAAGCAGCAGCAGCAGCACAAGCAGCAGCAGTAGGAGCAGCAGCAGCAGCACAAGCAGCAGCAGCAGCAGCAGCAGCAGCAGGAGCACAAGCAGCAGCAGCAGCAGCACAAGCAGCAGCACAAGCAGCAGCAGCAGCACAAGCAGCAGCACAAGCAGCAGCAGCACAAGCAGCAGCAGCAGCAGCAGCAGCAGCAGCACAAGCAGCAGCAGCAGCAGCACAAGCAGCAGCAGCAGCAGCACAAGCAGCAGCAGCAGCAGCAGCAGCAGCAGCACAAGCAGCAGCAGCAGCAGCAGCAGCGGCAGCACAAGCAGCAGCAGCAGCAGCAGCAGCAGCAGCAGCAGCAGCACAAGCAGCAGCAGCAGCACAAGCAGCAGCAGCAGCAGCAGCACAAGCAGCAGCAGCAGCACAAGCAGCAGCAGCAGCAGCAGCAGCAGCAGCACAAGCAGCAGCAGCAGCACAAGCAGCAGCACAAGCAGCAGCAGCAGCAGCACAAGCAGCAGCAGCAGCAGCACAAGCAGCAGCAGCAGCAGCAGCAGCAGCAGCAGCAGCACAAGCAGCAGCACAAGCAGCAGCAGCAGCAGCAGCAGCAGCACAAGCAGCAGCAGCACAAGCAGCAGCAGCAGCACAAGCAGCAGCAGCAGCAGCACAAGCAGCAGCAGCAGCACAAGCAGCAGCAGCAGCAGCAGCAGCACAAGCAGCAGCAGCAGCACAAGCAGCAGCAGCAGCAGCACAAGCAGCAGCAGCAGCAGCACAAGCAGCAGCAGCAGCAGCAGCAGCAGCACAAGCAGCAGCAGCAGCACAAGCAGCAGCAGCAGCAGCAGCACAAGCAGCAGCAGCAGCACAAGCAGCAGCAGCAGCACAAGCAGCAGCAGCAGCAGCAGCAGCAGCAGCAGCAGCAGCAGCAGCAGCAGCACAAGCAGCAGCAGCAGCAGCAGCACAAGCAGCAGCAGCAGCAGCAGCAGCAGCAGCAGCACAAGCAGCAGCAGCAGCACAAGCAGCAGCACAAGCAGCAGCACAAGCAGCAGCAGCAGCACAAGCAGCAGCAGCAGCACAAGCAGCAGCACAAGCAGCAGCAGCAGCACAAGCAGCAGCAGCAGCACAAGCAGCAGCAGCACAAGCAGCAGCACAAGCAGCAGCAGCAGCACAAGCAGCAGCAGCAGCACAAGCAGCAGCAGCAGCACAAGCAGCAGCAGCAGCACAAGCAGCAGCAGCAGCACAAGCAGCAGCACAAGCAGCAGCAGCAGCACAAGCAGCAGCAGCAGCACAAGCAGCAGCAGCAGCACAAGCAGCAGCAGCAGCACAAGCAGCAGCAGCAGCAGCAGCACAAGCAGCAGCAGCAGCACAAGCAGCAGCACAAGCAGCAGCAGCAGCACAAGCAGCAGCAGCAGCACAAGCAGCAGCAGCAGCACAAGCAGCAGCAGCAGCACAAGCAGCAGCAGCAGCACAAGCAGCAGCAGCAGCCCCCCTACACCGTTAGCTATACCATTCATGCAGCAGATCAATACACGAACCTTCGTCAAGCACACACCACCACTCCTATTTCCATATCTTACAAAATGCCGGGAGGCGGCGGGCTGGCGGGCAGGTAGGCAGGGTAGCACCACGTCCCTCAGGCCGTGAGGCGAACCTGTACCACCCTCACACACACACCAGAGGCGGGACCAAAGAGCCGAAGCTCAACCCCCACCACACCTGCTACAAGAAGCTTAGCTTAAATCTTCTTAACACCAACGCTATCAATGCCAGAAAAAAGCTTAAGTAAATCCAAGCTTTTCTCTATTTCGTTAAAATTTTCATTCAATTTCCTAATGGTATTGCCTAGGGAACCACCACACGCTGGGTAGTGAAGGGACCTCAGGGAGATGTGGACCTGGGGCCAGATTCACGAAGCAGTTACGCCAGCACTTACGAACCTGTACATCTTTCCTCAATCTTTGGCGGCTTTGTTTA